AACTCCTGAGCTAACCGTTCCCGCTCGACTTGAGGAATGTAGCGAGCGCAGAACATATCCCTGAACTGCTCCCAAGTAACAACAACTCTCTGCTCATCCGAATACGACCCAGTCATCAGCCTCCACCAGTCCTTTGCCCCGGACCTCAGCAAGTTCAGGGCACATCTGAACTTCTGGTCAGCAGGACATAAGCACGTGAAAAAACATCCCTCCACGTCAGACAGCCACCTCATGGATTTGATGGGGTCCTGAGTCCCATCAAAAGTAGGGGGCTTCGTGTTGTCGAAGTCCCGATACAGAAAAGCCCGACCGGCTCCCAACCCTGTCGCCGATACAGCCGTTGTAGCTACTGCGGCAGCCGCCTCCGTGAGGGCTGCATAGCGATCATCGAAATACTCCACCATAGCGGTCTTGATAGACCCGAACATCTCCGGCAACTGAGCCCAGAACATAGCAGCAACCTCATCATGTAGGATCTCCCGGATCCTGTCATCCATCTCATCTGGCCTCATCTGGCCGATAGTCTCGGGCGCTGTCGGCGCCTCCTGTCCGCCCTCTCCCTCTCCCTCTCCTGACCCGAATCCAGTCATGAATCGTCATGTAACCACCATGCTGAAAACATACCAAAAGGATATCAAATATTTCACATAACAATCCGGTAACCAACTCCCAATCAAAACCCTAGGGGTTGTGACTTCCTTGCTACGCGTATGGGTCCTGTGCTTTCAGTAGTACGGGCCCATACTACCTTCCACACCTACCCATATTTGTATCAAGTATCATCACAACGCCCTAAAACTATACATAAGCATGGCATGCGCTCAGTCCTCACTTCTAGAGGAAGGCTAAATATCTCATAATCGGCGGACTCATCCGAAACAACCTACCCATCCATGAAACTTCCACCAACCCTGCAACACTCGTGTATGCTAACCATACATAACACTGGACCCTATAGACTTTAGAATACCTGATCCTACCCTAAGCCCTTCATCAGAGAAGAACAAGAAATAAGGCCAAACCAAACATTCTCAGGCTATAAGATCTTAATTATGTACGGTCGTGATGCATACTCTAAGCAATTACAGTAATGGTGTCAATTTCATATCAGGAGAAACCCTACGCTATCAGGCATCATATAATCAGGCGATTCTATCATGCAATTCCTGAAGATCCCTAGCCTAGTACTAGCATGCTGTTCTAATATATCACAAAATCAAATAATCCGTAAGGTATTTTGGGGTCTATCCGCGAGCTCTGGCTGATCGTACCCTTGCATCCTCCTTTATTATTTGAAAACATTTTAAGAAAATCATTTTAAAATCTTGTCCTCAGTTTGAGATTGGAGACACGCGAGTGTTTCCTCCAATTCACTCAAACCAAGGCTCTGATACCAACTTGTAACATTAAAAAAAATCATGCCAAATTTAAACTTTTTAAAACATTTCAAAACCCATGATCATTACAAAATTGGTTTGCAAAATAGTATATTGTGAGAGTATCCCAGAATCAAAACATGAAATCATAAAGTGTGAGGAGCGGTACGATCATGTCTTCGCCTTCCCGCTATCATCAGAAGTACCTGAAACAATAATCAATAGTTGTAAGCTCGAAGGCTTAGTGATTTACCCCAAAAATACCAACGTCATACAGATATAACCATATCATATAACATATAAGCAAACAATACAACATGCGTAATGAGCCATCAGTCTGACTGGACCGAATCTCGGTCCTCAGTCTATCTGGGCCGCTCTCCGAGCCCTCGGCACGTCTGGACCGCCCTCCTCGGGGCCTTCAGCCTATCCGGACTGCTCGCGGGGCCTTCGGCCTGACTAGATTTGCCCGACATGGGCCTACAATCTACCTGGTCCGCCCCAGGGTGTCTTGGCCTACTGCACACATTAGGACCTGCCTCAACCCTTTCCCCAAACCAATGAACATGTGCACATAAATATCATACGCTAGCATGCAATAACAGATAGTCATGCAGATCTAACAGATCACTAACATGGCAACCATCCTACAACCAGGATATCAATCTAACAGATTACTAGCATAGCAACCATCCGAAAACCAGGATGAAATCTAACAGATCAATAACATAGCAACCATCCTGAACCAGGATGTAAATTATAGAGGGTCGGCCTTGGTGCCGTAGACCCTGTTGATATAGTGAGGAGAACTCACCTCTCAAGTAGCTCGAATCGATAAAGTCAACTCAACCAAATACAGCTCCAAATCCAACACCTACATCCACCGATGACTTACTTCCATAAATTCTCAAAATACCCCCAGAGGTCAAACTGGTCAACCTTGGTCCAAGTCAAAGTCAACGGTCCATGTTGACCAAACTCGTCGAGTGCAGCTAGCAACTCGTCGAGTTCTTTAAGAGTTCAGAAGGTCATAAAACCCCCACTGACTCACCGAGTTTCCGACCAACTCGTCGAGTCTATGCGTGTCCAAAAGTCGGGAAAACCGTAGCTGACTCGCCGAGTCACCCCACTGACTCGCCGCGTCCACGACCATCTTCATCGGACTCGCCGAGTTGACCATGCAACTCGCCGAGTCCCTACAGTCCATATCCATACAGATGCTTATTAAGCCATCTTAAGGTTCCATATTGCAGATCCAGCCTCCCAAGGCATGTTTATCACGTAAAGTTGCAAACTTTACGTGCATGCAAGGCTCTAAAGTCTTATAATGACAAAACCAAGCTTGTAATGGAGTTTTACACTTGAAGAGAGGTTCATACTTGCCAAAAATGAAAACTTTATGGACTTAGAGGCCAAGGAGAGTCCAGATCTGAAGTTACAACTTCAGATCTTAGCTTATACCCATGAATGGCTTCTTATTATGCTAGAAAAGCCCTAATCTTTAACCAAATGAGATCTAGAATGAAATGAGGTCAAGGTAACGACTTGATACCTTCCACTAGATGCCAACTGAGGTAGATATCGAATCCACACAAGTTCCTTGCTTCTAGTCAATTGATCTCCAAGCTCTTCTCACCAAGAATCCTCTTCTAAAGCTTAAACACACAATGGAGCACACATACACGTATTAGGGTTTTGCTGAGCTCTCAAAGGACTGTAAAGAGGCTGAAAGAGGCTTATGATTCTTTAAATAGGGTGAAAAACCGCGAAAATTAGGGTTTCATTCCCCAGCTCCTACTCGTCGAGTCCTATATTAGACTCGGCGAGTCGGTCATTTAAACATGTGGCCAAAACCCGCTCCTACTCGACGAGTCAGGGCATCCAACTCGTCGAGTAGACCTTGCAATAAGAAAATTAAAGCCATAAAATTAATACCTGAGAGTCGGGGCGTTACATTACATGGGACAATTCAACTCTAATTTTCACATGTTCCCAAAAGTGTGACAAACCTTATATATGTGTATGTTTATTGTTACATGTTCCATATTGTACTTTTCAAGAGTGATTTATTCCGTCTAACGTTTGTGAAAACATGGTCAGATAAAACCATTTAGGTCTTAGTCAACAATCTTGAATGTTTGCATAAGTAGAGTAACTTATAGATGACCCTCATTCATGTCTCCATGTTATTCCTATTTCTACAAGAAAATTTAGAATACTCTCCTAAGAGTCATATTCACAAACCAAGCGCATGATATGTCATTCGTGGTATATTTTGTGGAAGAAAAATATACTAGTCCATTTATGTTATCCAATATGGTATTAGTAACATGTTGCATTGGTGTAACCATCTGAAGAAGGCCATGCATCCATAAACAATTCTAGATCCATTGTTTTCACTTTATCTGGACAAACGCCTATGTCTATGTTTATCAATTATATACCTTGATTCTAATACTTGGTTTCCTTACTAGTCATAGTTTGTGCATATTAAAAACATGTTGATATTATGCATTTTTAAGAAAAACATTAATTTCCTATGATCTATATCTCATATTAGATCGGGGCAACCTAAGCCCACTATCGCTAATGAAAATGTACAACGATAAAGGTATGATACGGAGATATAATGGTAAAACCAAATAAAATAATGCATCCCTAAACTCAAAATATTCAGACAATAAAGGTTCGAAACCAACCGAATATGTTCCAAAAAGACATAACCAGAAATACTAAAAACTAATTCAAAATTAAAAAATGGTAAAGTATATATCCCATCTTCAATATTCTCCAACAGTCTGACATAAAATTGTAGAACAAATCTTTTTGGACTAAGTTGTCATTTTTCCAAACAAAGACATGTTCGGTCTTTTCAAATGATCACTTAGGTGCTGTTTGTTTTTTGAAAAAAACATCTTCAAACCTCTTATTGCTGCGCGGCGCAGCACACGCGCAACACTTTTCATCTCGCAACTGTTTGTTTTTTAGAAGTCTTCGGAGTCAAAAACCTCTGCGCGTGCTCTGTTTGGCACAGCACTTGTACTGCCTCTTCTAACCTCTTCTTCTTCTTCTTTTCTTGCTGTAATTTTGATTATATGTTGCTGAAATTTTATTTCACCTTTTTTTTTTTTCGTTTTTCTTTTGTTTATTCTTGTTGAATTTTTTTTCGTTTATTTATATTCAATAATGATAATTTATTAATGAAATATCATTATTTTTTACTAAAATATCTTTATTTTTTGTTGAAATATCATTATTTTTTACTGAAATATCATTAATTGTTGCCGAAATGTTATACATTATTAAATTTTACGTATTAAAAAACTATTTTCGGTTTAAAAAATTAGTTTATTTTAATTTTTTAATATCTGCAGCAGTATGCAGATGTTAAAAAAACAAACACACTTCTTATTACACTCTGTAGCCGTTTGGTCCACCTCTTCTACTGCAGAGGGTTGCAGAGATGGTCCGCAGACTTTTTGAATTTTTGCTTCAGAAAATCAAACAGCACCTTAGTTGATAATGATAATTTTTTAAAAATAAACCTTATTTGGGCTGTAAATGACATTTTTTCTTCTCGAAGTACTAAAATTGTCACAGTGACTGATGCAAAGTATTACTATGAGCCCTCTCGACACAAAAACACGCAGACACAGAAACACCCCTCTCTTTCTTTTCACTTTCTCTCTCTAGAAACGATGACGAGCCCTTCTGCTTCTTCTCGCAAGGTTTCCTATCTCTCTCTCGCTACATCTTTTTCCCTTCTTCTATCATATACTATACATATGTATATCTGTAATTGTATATCTATTATCTGTATATACATCCCTAATTTGAACGACTCCACTCAATTTGCGAATCCCTTTGATCGAGGGGCAATTATGTATGATGATCAGTCCTTGTTGGCTATAATTGCAGGCGCTGAGCAAGATCGCAACAAATCGTCTCCAGAAGGAGCTAATGGAGTGGCAGGTCAATCCACCTGCTGGATTCAAACACAAAGTCACTGATAATCTCCAAAGGTGAGGTGTTTATCGCTATTGCGACTGCTTGAGTTTAATTTTCTTTTGATTTAAGAGCTAATAGTTTGATTTTTTGGCTTAAAGATGGGTAATTGAGGTCAACGGCGCACCCGGGACTTTGTATTCCAATGAAACGTTCCAGCTGCAAGTTGATTTTCCTGAGCATTACCCTATGGAAGCGCCACAGGTCACATAACTTATCATGATTTATTGATTTTTTTTGGGAATTTATTGATTATCAACTGTAGGTAATATTGGGGTTAGTGAATCAAATAGTTAAATTTCTGAATTCTGAACGAAAATTCAATGGGGTGTGTGTGTGTGTTAGGGTTTCTGTATATGTAGAAGAATATCTAGGTGAAGAAAGAACATCCCTTAACCCTTATGTTCACACATAGAAAAAATTGTCTACTTGTTATATACAATGTGTTTTTTTTGTCAATTACCTAATAAGTGTCTTTTTTTAAGCAATTAGAATGTTCATTTCTTTTTTCGGATAACTAAACTATCATAATCTATGATAAGTTTCTTTAAAAAGTGTCATAATGTCCCATAAAAATCTCTAGTCATCTGATATGAAGTCTACTATTTTAAAGGATCACATATGACAAGACTTTCTAAGATCAAAATTCAAGCCATTTTCATGTGTATGACATTTCATATGTGTTGGATAAAATATTCTATGTCTATATCATTTATTTAAAATCTTTGGTTTCAAGATTTTCACTTCTTTTTTTTTAATAATCTAACATGTCGAGTAAATGATCTCATTGTGTGTGCGTTTAGCTCTTTTCTAGGGTTTGACTTTACTAGGGTTTGACTTACTAGCATCGCGTGTTGTTATGTCTTTTTTTTTTTTTTTTTTTTTCAGATTAATGTTAATTGTTAATAAGTAATTTCTAATTTCTAATAATCTTTATCTTTCTTTTGTTTTCTTTTGTTTTTTGACAGGTTATTTTTATTCCTCCAGCTCCACTTCATCCACACATTTATAGCAATGGCCATATTTGTTTAGGTTTGTCTCTTTACCCTTTTTTCACAGCCGTTTTTATTTTTTATTTTTTTATATGAGATTATTCGTGTTTTCATGAGAAAGATTTTTATAAATGGATATGTTAGATAAACGCAAACTAAAATGGTAAAACCCAAGTCTTATCATGCTCTTACATCTAATTAATCATGTCCATAATTCCATATTGATCCACACTGTCGAAAAAAAATAGTACGTTTCTTTTCTTCCTCTTTTGCAATTGTACACTAAAATTTTAAAATTTCATTTTTACCATTGATTTCTAATTTTACGCATATTTAATTTTCATATCCTCTTCTGTTAAAAATGTTTTCCAAATTCCAAATATACTGCCTCTATTCCATTAAAATATTTTTAATGATTATGAATTTGGCATTGGTGGGTGCAGATATCTTGTACGATTCATGGTCACCCGCCATGACTGTGAGTTCTGTATGCATCAGCATCCTCTCCATGCTATCAAGCTCTTCTACTAAGGTTTGTTTCGAATTTCACTTTCTCTTAAGCACTCTTTGTTACACAGTACACACAGACATGATCACATGACATGACATGACATAACAAGCTGTACTATGTTTTACCTGCATTATACTTTACACAGTCCAAGACATGACATGACATGACATGACCAGAATTAGACTTTTGTTACACGGTACAGGACAAGGACATGACTGACAGAACAAGTTGTACTGTGTTTGCCCTGTGTTGGACTTTTGTTACATATGACATGACAAAACAGGTTGTACTGTGTTTAGCTTTAGTCTGACAGATGAGTTTGTATGTGGTACAGCAACGTCCAAATGATGACGAACGCTACGTGAAGAATTGTAGGAATGGGAGGTCTCCCAAGGAGACGAGATGGTGGTTCCATGATGATAAAGTATAATGGATTATTAATGAGTAAAACTCTGTAAAACAAAGTGCAATCTTTCTCTTTGATTTAAAACCTCATGAGGTTTAGAAAGGATGGATATGGTTCCCTTTCTTTTTCGTGTCTTAAAAAAAAACTAAGGTAAACTTTATATTTAAAACAGTTTCTAACTTAAGAGAAGATTTGGGTGAATTGAATGGCTTATGTACTTGTAAAGTGGTAAGCATTTGTTTCTTTTGGCATGAAAATGCAAGCTCACAAAAGTTTTACAGTATTATTATTTTTTTTAATTATTTTTTTTTGGAATTCGATAATCTACAAAGAAAAACGAATGGATATTAAAAAAGTTTATCAAAACGTTTATGGGCAATACTGAGGAATATACAAAATGGAAAGGTTTCATGTATTTGAAAGTATTAAAATATCAAGATATAGCTTTGTATACAACGGGTCCGTGGATGATTTTTTCATTTGAGAAATTAAGTAATGCAAATAAAATATATGGTTTATTGATTTGTATGATAGTTACAAATATGTTATATTTTATATAGATGAATCAACTTTTTAAATGAAAATAATGCACACAATTATGAAAATATATGCCTTCATTGATTTGTATGTTAACGCCCATTTCTAACTTTTGATTTTATTAGTCAAATTAATCCATACAACCATGTTGGATGTTAGTCAATTAATAAAAAGTAGATGTATTTGAAAGTATCAAGTCGTGTATTTGTGCAACAAAGTGAGACACAAACTTTTATTGTAAAAATTAAGTTAATATGGTGTCAATTAAGTTGGTATGGTGTCGATTGGTTGAGGCGTTTACTTATCGTATTATCTATTTTTTCCAACTTTATTTGCGTGGTTCTAATAATCTAATTAAATACGATCTCTATCTAACAAGGTATATTTTTGTATTAAAATACCAAATTTTCTTTTCCTGAAATATCTTATAACCAAAATTTTCTTATAACCAAAATTCAATATCACATTAGATATTTTCCATCAGAATTCAATATCGTGATACATATTCTCTAAGTAACGTTAAGTAGGGCTCAAAGCTTTACATCCACACCACTTAAAATAGCAATCAACTCTATATCTGAACAATCTTCTGTAAATAGCAATCAACTTAAGGTCTTCAATGATGGGATTTCCGAGAATAAAGATACAAAAGGTCTAGCTCCAATGAGTTTGAACTATAAATATAGCTTATGCTCAAATAGATAGGTTTATTCTTTATACTTAGACTACAAATATTTTCAAGAATAATTTCCACTGTTAGTCCAATAAAGATTGCCTTTAGAGAATATACGACTATTATGTATCTGAGATTATAGAACCCTCCAAACTACGTAGTTTTGATTTAAATATATCCAAACTAATCATTGATCTTTCGGTTACTATTCTTCTTAAAATCATGTACCTTCCGAAACCAAGCGAATCTATGTTTTTTTTTTCTTCATTAGGTCTATAAACCCAAATCATTGAAAGGCATAATTACTAATTCCTATCAATTTTAAAATGGAAAGTAATGTAACATAACTAAAAAAAACATACAAATCATTTAATAAACTTTTTGATAAATGTTTTGGATAGAGTTTTTCTATGGAAGGACAAAATGTTTTGAGTTATATTCATTAAAAAAATATTGTTTTTTAATGACTTTTTACGATAAAAGAATTATGTAATCGATCTTTTTCATTCCATAATTTGACTCAATCATTTGTATTTTCATTGAGAACGCGAGAACGGATCTGGACCATCAAAATATTCAGATATGGGGCTATTATGGGGCTATTATCAAACGGGCCATTTATGTAAACTCTAAAACCATAGGTATTTAAGTGTAACTTGTAAAAGGTCACAAGGCTATAACGGTAATTGCAATTTTAACTTGTTCCTATAATTTCTCAATCACCTCTCATATTGCCGTTTAAATTATTTTCCCCCACCTCATCTCTTTCTCTCTCTATACCTAGGGTTGAATCAATAAACAGCCTCCATCATCTGTATTCCCCCGATTTCTTCCTAATCGCAACATCATCATCGCTCCACCATCTATCGCAGCCCTAATCGGACCTTTGTAAGACATCAACTCAATCATTTATGGTATAGTCGATTTTTCTAGGTGGGCATCGTGCTCCGCCAAACACATCAGATGCGGCGGCATATCGAATCCACGTAGCGCCTCTCCCTCTCCTATCAGACATGTTATCGGGTGGTCTCTAGTGGTGCTCTACGACAACCCTAGCTTCAGAAACTTATACAACATGTCCCGAGTAAAAATCGAAGACTTTGGTTTTTCCAACTCCGACTTGCTTTTCACCGATCTGAGAAACCCTGGATGGATGAGAATCGCTCCGGCCAGTCTCAGTGGATGGAGGTTTTCTCCGGTGCTATCTCCGATGAGGAAAACACGGTTGACGTCTCCTTTACTAGACAACCATGGTTGGTGTGTTTTTTCGTTAGCCAAATCTTGGAGCCAGAAAAGGGTGGAGTAAGCTTCATTGATAACAGTAGGGAGTCGATGCTTATGGGCAAAAGGGTGGAGGTACTTCATTGTGGTTTTGTGTGGGGTCGAAATCTGAAAACAGAAGCAAGTAAGAATATCATATGGGTTTACGTTATATTTATTTATGATTACAGTCACAATTCTAAATGAATGTATAGTACTATAGTATATGAGTTTATATTATATTTATTTATGATTATAATTACAAATTTAAATGAATAAAATATATAGTGTATTTTGGGTTTTCATTTTTTGTTTAGATATATTAATTGTTTATACGTACTGGTTTTGATTTATTAATTGTTTGTATGAGTTTTGTTTTGTTTTTTTTGTTAGGTTTGAAGTTATATTAATTGTTTATACGTACTGGTTTTGATTTATTTTTTGATTTATTAATTGTTTGTATGAGTTTTGTTTTGTTTTTTTTGTTAGGTTTGAAGTTATATGTGGTTACCAGACAACATTCAGAATTTTAGGTGAGACGATTAAGCCTACAACAAGTGCAGCAAAGTGGACAAGAAATTGGTGGTAAACATGAAAGACAAGGTGTCAAATTTGTTAAGTATCACTGAAGTTGGTTACACAAGCACGTGGATTTTAGCAGCAAAAAATAATCATAGATGTTGAAGCAACGATTTCAAGTTAAAAGATTCAAAACAAAAATATATAAGAAAGCTACAATATTTTATGTTATATTCATTTATAATTACAACTATTTTAAAAGTTTTTATCAAAATATTTTTCTTTATTCATTTTTTTTATTTGTTTATGATGATTATACATGTATTTAATTATCTATGTGTATATTGGGATTTATTCATTAATGATTACAAATGTATTTGGTTTTTAATCTTTATATCATGCTTTATTTGCTTATATTTACAATCATATTCATATATGATTGCAACCATATTTAGATTTGTCAGCTTTACAAAAATTTATTAAAAAAACTAAATTTATAAAATCATAAAAACTATATGTGTTATTATTTATGACAGATGTTTAATCTAGATATAAGTAGCCAATATGTTTTATTTATTTATGATTATAGTTGTATTGTAATTTTTCTTTATAAATTGTGCTATATTCGTTTATTATTATAACTTAATTCATCTATTCATTCACGATTACAACAAATTCATATATGACTACAAATATGTTTTTATTTTTGTATGATTACACATATTAAGTTGAAATCATTAATTCATCAATCTTTTTTATAACTCGTAAAAAATAAAAAATAAAAAACATTTTTTAATCATGGTAAAAATATTTTTTTTAATAATCTGATTGATTAAAAATAGATTAAATTTATTTTTAGTTTTTAGGTAAGAAAATCAATTAATTAGATAATATCCCATGATTGTAGGAATTAATTAATTATCCATATTTAATTACATTGTAAAATTCCTTTTACACCCTTATGGAATGATTGGTCTACAAATGTTCTCGCGTTCTCAACCTTTTAGGTGTTCTTATTTGATCCTCTCCCTATATATAATATATATATATATATATATATAATAATATATATATAATATATATCTTATATATATATATATTATATTATAAAACATATTAGTTAGATGGATTTCAAGTCTTTTTAATTAGGTGTTGTCCTCCCACAACTAGTATATAATATACTCATTGTGAGACCCGTGTACTACATAAATTTATTAAAAAACATGAGTTTATTTAAAAAAATAAATATAAAGGTCTAAATTTATAAGAGTTTGAATTTATAGTGAAAATAAAAAATATTGAATTATTGAAATTGAAATGTTCATTTCTTTTTTAAATTTAAATAAATAAACAAATGCAGCATCAACCAACGGAAAAACGTAGTCACAGACTGTGCTATAATGCACCCCAAAAAGGGAAGAGCTCATTCTCAATCTCATTCGTACGATGTCTACTTCTTTACTATGGATCATGTCTTCGGAGGCTAATGTCGGTGAATCAGTTAATATGACATAGATCGGAGAATGGTTAAATGCTTCTTTGGGAAAGAACTCCTTGCTAACTGCTTCAACTTTCGACTAGGGCAGCAGCTCCCTCTTGCACAACTCCCCCGAACAGCCCAGATCTGATTCACTTTTAGAACCTCTTCATCTATTCCTAACCTTAAGAGCTTATTCAAAAAGTCATTTTATAGAGTAAGACCGTTACTAAGAAGGAAAAAAGCCCCCCATCTTGTTCGACAACAAGCCCAAGCCCTTCTCCTCAAAGAGCACTAGTTGCATTTCAAATTCTAAAAAATCTAAAAGGCGTTCTCCAAGCCACTTCTTGTATGCTTTGATTTGATTCAAAAGAAGTTCGCTTTCTCTGCTTTTCAAAAAACACAAATATAGGGTCTTTACTTTAATTCATCATTGGACTGGTTTTCAGTTCAAGAGTCCCCTATTGTGTATTTTGATGCCCCTATCTTCAAAGGCAGAAGAAAAACATCATATTTGAATGATTTAGAAATGAATATCAGAAAAAGGATTGACGGATGGAAGGCCAGGTTTCTCTCTTTTGGTGGCAAGCTCACTCTCTTAAAATCAGTCATTTCCCCTATTCCTATACTGCCAAGACCAAACTTGAGAGGCAGTTTCACCTTGACAAAACAAATGAAGTAAAGAATCCTGTTGACTTCTAATGCAGAAATTCAATTTATAAGGCATTTGAAAGCCCATGTATCTGAGCTTGTCATTCATAGGAAGAGCATTCCTGAGGAATCTCCAGAAGAAGAGAATAAACCCATCTTAGGAGGAAGCCACTGGTTCCATAATAAAGACCACCAAGGACTTTTCTGGCCATGAATTCTGGAAAAATGCCAATAGGAAGCAGAGGAGAAAAGACCTGAAGGGGAATGATGCCAAACTAGTCTATCTAGGATGTCAGAATCTAGACAGATATCTTACAAAATAGATTGAGCCTCTGTGGATAAGCTAGGCAGAACTAAGGTAGAAAAATCCGTAAAGAAAGTCTAAGGTAGTTGCCGGTCCATTTTACTTTTTTTTTATAATGTGCTGGATTCCTACTCTGAGTAGGCTTTTTCGTGCGTGCCATTATAGGAGTCTTAATTAGGCTTTAATTTAAGAATTTTGATATTGAAAAGAAAGTGCACTGATGAAATTGATATCAATTTATTATTACATTTATTACACTTATTACATTTATGAAATTTAATAAAACGAAAAGTAAAATCATAAAATGGCATATTAAAAAATTTATTTAAAATAATCACAAAATTACATGTGGCAAAATGAATAAGAATTTAACATGTGACAAAAAAGATTTATAATTATTAGGATAGATAACGTCAAGTATGTGTGCAATAAAGCTCCCCTGGACTTCTATGTTATATATTGATATTGATGTTCTATTAGGGTTGGTTCAAATATATAGTGGGCCAATGGCGAAAAAAATAGGCCCAAAAGACATAAATATAATAAAAATTAAATCGAAATTAGACACGTTGTTATAAAATTCACTATTAATATTCAAAAACACAAACATGGTCAAAACATTATAAAAACAACTAATTTAAAGAAAAACACTTCTAACATTTTTAGATAAGTTAGTTTTTTCTCTATATAATTATACCATATAATTTAGGAGTTTTGGACCCCTTAAATACATGGGCCTGGGCGCCAGTGGGCGGTCACCCGGGTTGTCCACCGTCAGGGTCGGACTTGAGTTCTACAATGATCCAACATAACCATCACAATTTTTTCATATATCTAAGGTTTTGTAATATATTAATTAATTACGTTATTCCTCCAAAAAGTCTAGCTAGCGTTGTAAACAACGGATAATTACAAATTTAAGCAGAAAAATAAAAATGTTTTAACGGATATTGTTTTGGGAATAAGAACATCATATCCAATATTAAGTCTCATAGCATATCTGTTTTTTCAAAGAAATTGTAAATATAATTATTTAGATGACCTTCCGTAGATGACCTCTATTGGCAACTTTTTCCTACCAATATTCAGTAGAATGATCTAAGCAGCAGCTAAAAAATGTTGAATGTCTTTAAGTATATCTTAAAAGACATACTAAATGTTTGGGTTGTTTTATTTTAATATTTAGTAAATATTACTTATCGTTAAAAATAAATATCGGAGTATACTTTAATGAAGTATTTGGATATGAAATACACTTTAATAATGAAAAGTACACACTCTATATCAACTGGATGTACATGTTACATAGCAAGAGCCAACACATATTCTCTCTACTTATAATATTTAAAAAAGTAAAACTGATAAATGTCGATTGTTATTGAATGAGAAACTTGCTCATCATAATCAGTATTCCGTATATTATTTAGGCGATCAAAAACGTAGCTTTGTCTTGAAATTTTTCGGGATAATGCCCATAGTACTTGATTTTAGACACTATCACGAAAAATATTCATTGTATAGAAAACTTGTGTATACTATATGTTTGAAAATATTTTATTATCAACCGTGCTTGATCAGCAATTTGCAATTTGGATGCTAAAAGGTCAAATTGTAGGCTACATCATTAATTAATGCAATCACAAACCAAATTGATAATGCTCTTTGCCTTTAAAACCACCAATACATTGAAGGAAAGAAGTAAATTCATTTTGATAGATATCGATCGAAATGGGTTTCACTAGTAATCTTGGGTTAGCGCTTTTCCTACTATCACTGTTTTGGGAAGGTTCGATGGGTCAATCTGGGTGCACGAATGTGCTCATTGGAATGGCTCCATGCCTAAACTATGTTACGGGGAGTTCCAAAACACCATCTTCTTCTTGTTGTTCATCTCTTGCAAATGTCGTTAAATCACAACCACAGTGCCTTTGCACTGCTCTTGATGGTAGCACTATGGCGTCACTAGGAATCAGTATCAACAAAACTATCGCATTAGCACTTCCAGCTTCATGCCATGTGAAGACCCCACCTGTTAGTCGATGTGGTGGTATGTATAATGTATTGATAGACTTGTATATATTCACATGTTTATCTTATTGTTATAATGATATATTTCGTACTTTGATACTAACTATTGTTACTATATATATAATCAGGTGGAAATAATGCACCAGTGATGGCTCCAGTTAGATCTCCCCAACACTCACATGGTGAATACTTGAAAGGACCTTCACCAGCCAGCATATTTTTCGAAGGTATGAGTTCATATGATGTTTATATTATGCTTATAACAAGATATATAACTATAAAGCAAATCCAACGTGGTGAAACTTTTGTACATGCATATGTAAACAGGATCCAAACAAGTTATGTCAACCGGTGAAACATCTGATGCTGCTTTTTTACGTAAGTATATGCACCACATGGTCTTATCAGGTATTGTGATCATGGTAGGTTTGCTACCTTGAAGGCTTGAACCATTAGCAATATCTAAGTGACTCCTTTGGAGATGTACTATAAAAAAAAATAAATGATGTGTGTTTGCAGTTATGTGTTGTTTGTTGTTTTCTTTTCATGTCATCTATTATAAACATGTAATGTTGTTTTGAGTATTTGTAATGGATGTTTGTTCCACGAGTCTCCTCTTGTATTGTATGGTGAAATTTGGTTCCATTTTATATAATTAGTGAATTTCAATCCGTCACGTGTTGTATCATATATTATTTCCCATTTCTTATCATTGTTTTTTTTTTCTTATTTAAACCGTAAGAGCTCAACTTCACCTCATTTTTTGCAGTCTTTGTTCCTAAGATGACCTTTTTATGGGCTTCTCAATGCTAATAAATTAATATGGTTCGACACACCCTTAGCTATTAAGAAATAAAAATTTTGTATGTTTATTAGTATAATGATCATAATACATCTTTATTGTTTAACAATGATACTGATACATTCTTTTTGTAAATAGTAAAAAAAAAACATAAATAACCTAATATAGGTATTTAACTGTTTGTAAATAAATATATAAGTTTTTATTTTGATATATTTTGCTTATGAATATTAATATATTTTACTTATAATTTAAGCCTTAATTAAGAAACAAATCATGTATATACTTTTTTGACATACAAATTGAATTCAAAGTTCAAACCCAAAACCTTCAAAATCTTCTTTTTGATTCGCTGCCATACGATTTCTTTTTGTTTGATAATTAAGGTGGAGTGTAGGAAATCCCGTATCTATCTTGGGTTTTGAGAGCAAATAACTGATGCACGATTTATAGCTTGTAATTGACATCTTCACCACCTTTGTAGTACAACTCTTGTAATTCTTTGTAGCTGTCGTAAAATGCTTTAGTCTTCGAATATCAAGCTTCTCCCCCATGCGTCAAAATTCATTTAAGATTATTTTGTCCGATATCCATACGTCAAAAATTCATGAAAAACATTTTAAATAAATAACTAAATAAATATCGTGACTGTATTTGTGACCCTATATAACCAAAAGTTTATATTTAGGGATATATATGATTCAAAAAACTCGAACATGCACTAACTCAAAAATATCTTTTAATAATTAAACAGCAATATTAAACCATACATAATTTTATCTGACTTTAATAACATCATATTTAATATGAATCAATATCCAATAAAAATTGAAATATATTTATGTGTTAATAAAAACCAAATGCATATTAGATGGATATTATTTCATCTTTTTTGTATACGTTCTTTGTAATTAGAACATGTCAATTTGAATATAGATCGTTATCTAATAAAAATCGAAATATATTTTTCTAAGAAATTAAAAAAAAAATCAAGATTATTTTAAGGTAAATCGCAGTTGGGAGCAGAGGAAATCGCAGGTGAAGCACACTCACTTGCGATTTGTTTAGAAAAATCTAAGAAAAACCTTTTAGAAGACAATTCACAGCCAGATGATAGCAAATAGCGGATGAGGTCTAGCCATCTCCTATTTCCTTAGCTAATTTCTTCATTTGGGTTTTCTAGCTGATCACCAATCACCATCGATCATAACCGCTTTTACAACCAATCGAATCCTATTTCTTTTTCTTTTTCATAGAGCATGAAAAAGAAAATTGTAATTTAATTCCTTCCGATAGCCACTTCACCTTGAAATTTTGATAATAATATAAAGATTTATTTTATGAAATTTAGCCACTCTCTTCGACATAAGGGAGCCTTTTCTGCTGAATTGATCTAGGCCCACCTCAAGAGCCTTCAACTTGCACAAAAGCTCCTTTCTTTCTTCATTTCTTTGGGCCATGTTAGACATACTCCAACTTCTCAAACACTTTCTTCAATTGTTCTAAATTTATTTTCAAAAACCACAAGGTCACCAAATATAATAAAGTCGGCATTAAAGTCATCAAATATAATAAAGTCACTCGGGTGTGAATTCATGAGCATGACTAATTGATTCCATAGCTCTTTTTTCCTCTGTCGTTCTTGTGGCGCATACACATTAATTAATTACAAAAAAATCTTCCAATTCAACAAAATCTGCTAACCTTCAACAATGACATAATTATCCATAAACAAAACTTTATTTTTTTTTTATTTTTTTTAAATCGTTGGATCCCAAACAGTAAGAATCCCATCTGACCTTTGCTGTGTACAAATACATACAAAGCTCTATTTTCTTTTTATCATAAGGGACGCAATGGAATGCCAAAATTCTCCAAACTAGTAATTTAGATGCAAATATAGTTTATTTATCATAAGCGACGCAATAGAATGCTACAACAGTACAAACTAGTAATTTAGAAGCAAATGTAGTCTACACCCATGATTTATACACTCAAAGCCAAAACTTACGAATAAAACTTTTATAGATTGCAATGTCATTATCAATTGATCTTTCTTTCTGATTGGCAGGCCGGTCCTGACGGTGGGAAACCTGGGCGACCACCCAGGGCCCACGATTCTAAGGAGCCCAAAATTTCTGAAATATATAATATATATACATATATAAAAAATAAATTTTGTGTATATGTCTTCTAAGGGCCTAATTACCAAATTAACCTAACTTTAGCCCAATGAAATAACCTCTTTTTGTCTAGACTCTGGAACGCTTTTTGAAGTAACGTTAAGCAAACACTACGGTTTAGGGCGTCTTTCATGAATCTACATCAGACGGGAACCAATTAATCAAATTGACACCTCGTGAAACCTAATCTTTGCCTCGTGAATCAACATCAGAATAATGATTCATAATCAGTTATGTCGCGTGACTTCTTCCCTTCTCGTAGTCTCTTACCAGCCTTCAGATTATAATCAGTTATGTCGATTGAATGCAAAATTGCAAAGCACCCGACGAATGAGATAAAAATCATAAGGTTAGCTATAGATTTTTTTTGTTTGTTTTTTTCCTCTAATTCTTTTGATTCTCATTCTGATTTGATTTCTTATTCACGTTCCTTATAGTTTTAATTATTTATTTATTTATTTTGTTTGTGTATCTGTGTCTCAGATTGCTGGAGACTGGACTGTCAATTCTTTATAGCTTCTACCTACGTTTTCATATTTTTTACTTAACAAGATAATTTTTTTGTAGATATCTGATTCAGAACTCAAAATGTTAAATCCAATTCTAATTATTTTGATATTTTAGTGTTGTTTCTGATTTTATTTTGTATTCACATTCCTGGTCCTGTTATCTAATCAAATGCTGAAAGCTTATATATAATATATATATATATATATATCTATATATATATATTATATTATATATATATATATATTTTGTTCTCAGATTTCTCAAGACTTGACTTTATATCTTCTACCTACGTTTCAGATTTTTTTTACTTAAGAAGATAATATTTTTATTGATATATGATTCAGAATTCAAAACTTTAAATCCATTTCTAAATTCAGATGTTTGATTGTTTGTTTTTTATTTTATTTTGCAGTTGCACCTTCATTTTAATTGAATATGATATTAGGCTTCTACAACTTTGAGACATAACTCATATATCAAAAGTCAGATGTAATCTTTTCCCATAAGTAGATATTGTTTAGTTATTGACAGTCTACAATGTTTTAAAAAAAAAACAATTATCCGGAAGCCAAAAAAGGAAGAAACGAAAAAATTCTGATGCCTTCAATCAAACTTATAAAGGATCTATACATAATTTTTTTTAAACCATCGAGTTCGTCTAGTTTGAATGAAAACGATATTAGTTTGAATGCAGAAAAACTAATTTGAATTAAAATGATACTAATTTCTCTTTTAGGTAACGTTGTGGTCATATTTATGTTTTTAATATTAATAGTGATTTTTGTGGACTTTGTAACGACATGTTAATTTTTAGATTAAATTAAATTTTATTTATTATTCTGGGGGCCTACTTTTTCTTTTCGCCATGGGCCCGCAATACGTTTGGACCGGCCCTGCTCCTCGGTCTTGACATAATTTTTTTATCAAATAACAAATTGTTGTGTAAAAAGTAGTTAAATCAATAATACATAAGGACATCCTTGTTGAGCTTTTGATCATTTTTAAATAACTAAACACTAAAATAATTCTTATCACCTTATTATGTTTTGTTAAATACATTTCTCATAGCGAATAAACTCAATATCCAGAATAGTTATTGTTACTCTTTTAAATATTTTAAATTATTGTTACTCTTTTAAATATTTAAATATTTTTCCTAATAAGCATTTTAAAGTTCAAATTTCTTTAACAAAAAAAGAGAAAAAAAAAACTATTTACAAGAATATTCTTAAAAAAATTTAAATTAAAAATTTGACAAAAACTAATAACATCATGAATTGATCAAGAATCTTAAGCTTTTAATCCGTTTATCAAACTAAATGATAACAATGACTCACTCAACCGGCAAGTTCTCCACTTCTTCTCTCACTGAATCAAACAAAACCGTCGACAAATAACGCTCCCCAAAGCTCGGAAAAAGCACCTGCTCATTTTATAAACAATTAAATGCAAGAAAAAAAACGTTACCTTATTTTTGAAAAATAAAGAAACAAATTTTGAAATGGCAATTTGAAAAAGATTAATGATTATCTTACAACAATGAGCTTTCCGGCATATTCCGGCCGTTTCCCTATTCTGATTGCCGCCGCCGCTGCCGCCCTGGATGAAATTCCGACCTACCGGAGTTGCAGACAGTAAATGAAAGTATGTTGTTATTTCTTGAAGTACAAAAATAAATAAATAAATAAATAAACTTGAAGGAATCAATTTGTAATATTCTTTATGAACATACCAATAAACCTTCTTTTAGTGCAAGAAGTTTAGCAGTTTCAATGGCTTCTTCACTAGATATCTGAAAAAAATCCAAACGCACGAGATAACAAGCAATTTTTATAAGTACAATATCTTAATAAGAAATAAAAAAATCCAAACGCACGAGATAACAAGCAATTTTTATAAGTACAATATCTTAATAAGAAATAATAGAACAATATGATTGGATAGATTTGTCAAAGTACAATGTGTTAATACGAAAAAAAGTTAAAATAAACAAAAGTACACTATTTCTTGCATCTAGCCATATAAA